AAAAAAAAAAAAAAAGTCAGATGCCCCACCGACTGAACCACCCAGGCACCCCTAAAATGTTTTAATAGTTAAGTCGGCTGACCTGCTGAGCACCATATATGTGTCAGGCATTGAGCTAAGCTGAGACTCTCCCAGCCACCCTGCGGGGTAGGGACTGCTATGCTCTGTGTTTTCCAGATGAGGGCACTGAGGCACAGAGCGGTCAGTTCACCTGCCTCGGACCACAAGGTGGCAGAGGTGGGAATCTGAAGCCAGGTGGTGTGGCTTCAGAGGTTCAAGGTGTGTGTTTAGCTGCAACGTCAGGATGGAAGATAGGACTAGACCATTTTAGCCGTGGTTTCAGAAATGCTGCTCGGGCCGAGGGGGCAGGCTTGGGCTCACCTGAGGTTGCTGAGGTTGTCCTGGGGGAGGCGGCTGCACACTTCCTGGAGGGCCTCCAGCCGGGCTCCTGGCTCCTTCAGACTGGGTGGCGAGGAGAGACCGGGTGAGCCAGGCCAGGGCCCTGGGGCCCTACCTCTGCAGCCCCGCCCTCCCCAGCATAAACTCACCTGGCTGCCCTCATCCAATCGTCATAGAGGTCAAAGGTCATCAAGGGCTCTGGCAGCTCCCGCAGATAGGACTTGAGGGCACCTGAAGCGGTGGCAGGGTGGGAGTGGGGGGACGGGGCTTAGACCCAGTCCCCCAAGACCCCTACCTCCACGCCAGTGCCCAGCTCTCTCCATCTGTTGGGAACCAGGCCCTTGTTCCCACAATGTGTCTAGATCTGATCATTTCTTTGGGCCATGGGCCATTTGGAGAAAATGCCGAAGGCTGGTGGACCTGGTCCCAGAAAAATGTACGTACACATCATGGGCCCCACTTTAAGGACCCCTATGTCTCCGGAGGTGTCTCCTTGGCAGATGATCAGGCTCTCAGCCAAACTATCATGGGAGCATTTCAGGCTGTTGAGGGGAAGGGATCTGGGGGGAAGGCCCTCCTCCCGGGGCTCCTCGGGGCAGGCACCTGCCACGGCGTGGGGGTCGGAGCAGAACTCCTGCAGGCCGCGTGGGTCCGAGGCCATGGTCTGCTTGAGACGTTTCAGCACCGAGGCCCCAGCGGCCAGGCGGAAGAGACCCTGGGGTGCGAGAGGAAACGGGCGGGGGTCACAGAGGGGCGGCAGGGGAGAACGCCCTGGCCGGGAGGCCCTGGCTCGCTCAGGGTGGCCCTCACCGGGCCTGTGTCCCCACCCGGTCTGGTGGGCAGAGTGGGGACCACAGGATGCGTGGCCGCCCTCAACTCTCAAGGTCTAGGACTCGGCGCGAAGTGGGAAGTCTGGGGGCAGCAGGGAAAGCGGTGGGGACACAGGCGTCTGGGTGGGCATGGAAGGGAGGAAGGAGGCCCGGCAGCACTGTCTAGAAGCCCAGGTCGCTCTGCGAGTAGGTTCCGCGTCTAAGGGTCTGTCCTCGGGGCAGGAGCCGATAGACCAGCGCCGGCAAGGTGCACGGGACGGATGAGGGCAGCGCGAGGCAGTGACTGCATGGGGGTCCCTGGCTTTACTGACACCTTCTCGTGTGCCACTGGGCCCGTTTTCCTCTTGGCCTCCGTCTCTCCCTCGTAAAATGGAGCTGGTGAAGGCTCCTTCCCAGGGTTTTGGGGATGACTAAACGGAGCAAGACGTGGAAAGGGTTTACGGCATAGCGGCTGCCCATGAACGTCACTCAGTGGGCCGTGATGTCAGTTTGGCAACAGGAGGCCGTGGCCTCACAGGCACCTGTGCTCTAAGGATTCCGGCCCCCGTGTCCCTTCCCGACCTGCCCCCACGGGCCCCACCTCTTCCTTCATGCCCTCAGAAAGCAGCATCATGACGCAGGCCTCGATGGGCAGGGCGATGTCCCGGCCCAGCTCTTGCAAATGGGTTCCCAGTGACACCCCATACACCCTGAAGAAGGGGGCGGCCGTCATCGAGGGGGAGGGGTCTGCAGGGACGAGACAGATCAGTGGCCCGGGCTCCCCCGCGTCCCTGGACAGCCAGCCCCCGCCCCACCCACCCCCAGACATCCTCAAGGGCTACCGCTTTGCCCAATCTCTCTCGAATCCACCCACCTCCACTGTGTCGCCCCTAGTCCGGGCCATCACCCCTTCCCTCCTGCCTCTTAAAGGTCTCCCGACTCCTGTTCTGTTCCCCTTCATTCCATCACTCCGCACGGCAGAGTGACTTCTCAGTCACAAATCGAATCGGAACGCATCTGCTCAGAACTCATCCGGGGCTCCCTACTGCCTCCCAGGATGCAGTGCAAGCATCTCAACATGCCCTGAGCAGGGCTGGGGG